GATGGTAAACAGGCGGATGTGTGGCGCGGCTACCATCGTACCCAATGGGTGCGATGGTAAACAGGCGGATGTGTGGCATGGCTACCATCGTACCAAATGGGTGCGATGTAAACAGGCGGCGATGGTAAACAGGCGGATGTGTGGCACGGCTACCATCGTACCCAATGGGTGCGATGGTAAACAGGCGGATGTGTGGCGCGGCTACCATCGTACCCAATGGGTGCGATGGTAAACCGGCGGATGTGTGGCGCGGCTACCATCGTACCCAATGGGTGCGATGGTAAACCGGCGGACGTGCGGCACGGCTACCATCGTACCCAATGGGTGCGATGGTAAACCGGCGGATGTGCGGCGCGGCTACCATCGTACCCAATGGGTGCGATGGTAAACCGGCGGATGTGCGGCGCGGCTACCATCGTACCCAATGGGTGCGATGGTAAGCCGGCGGATGTGCGGCGCGGCTACCATCGTACCCAATGGGTGTGATGGTAAACCGGCGGATGTGCGGCGCGGCTACCATCGTACCCAATGGGTGCGATGGTAAACCGGCGGATGTGCGGCGCGGCTACCATCGTACCCAATGGGTGCGATGGTAAACCGGCGGATGTGCGGCGCGGCTACCATCGTACCCAATGGGTGCGATGGTAAACCGGCGGATGTGCGGCGCGGCTACCATCGTACCCAATGGGTGCGATGGTAAACCGGCGGATGTGCGGCGCGGCTACCATCGTACCCAATGGGGCGCACTTTATTGAACTGCTATGCAAGACGTACATGTAACGTGATATGCTATATGTGGTATGCATACCACTGTTCACGGGGTCGGTGTTACACCACTGTATGTGGGATGCTCACCCTGCAGGGTGAGAAATGATGAGCACCTGGACTGAGGAAAATTACAGTGCAGGGGTGGGCATGCAGCTGCAGCACTCACCCCGGTAATGGGAACACCCTCCTGGCCCCTGGGTAGGCAACCTTTAAGGCCAGCTGTTAACCAAACACTAGCAACATACACCTACCCAGCATGGCCATCATTACCTCACTGCTCAATTACCCATC